GGCCTGTGGCCGCGTCGGGCGGCGGCCCGGGAGGGGACGAGGAGGAGGACGAAGAGGAGGAGGAGGAGGACGAGGAGGCGCTGCTTGAGGACGAAGACGAAGAGCCACCTCCTGCTCAGGCCTCGGGCCAGGCCACGCAGCCGCCACCGGAGCCCCCGGAGGCGGCAGCCATGGAGGCCGCGGCCGAGCCTGATGCTTCCGAGAAACCCGCGGAGGAGGCCACGGCCGGGTCAGGTGGGGTAAATGGTGGCGAAGAGCAGGGCACCGGCAAAGGGGAGGAAGATGAACCGGAGGAGCGCAGCGGGGACGAGACGCCGGGATCCGAGGCGCCGGCTGACAAGGCCGCAGAGGAACAGGGTGAGGAGCTGGCAGCGGAGCCCGGCTCCAACCTGCCGAGTGCGCCCCGACCCAGCACTGAGCCTTGCACAGCGGGGTCCGATTCCCCTCGCCGATTGGTGGGACTCGCCAGGGGAGGTGGCTTTTATTCTCTACCCACTTTTCGGGGGTGGGGGGAGTTGGCCACCTCTGGTGGCCCCACTCTGCAGGAGGGAGGTTCCTGCCTAACTTGGTTGCTCGGTGGTAGTGGATGGAAGTAATTGGTTTTGCATGAGAACTGCTTACGAGCTACCTGTGGAGCAGCCTCCCGCGGTGCTGGTTATCTTTTCCTAAACCGGGAATGCGCTGAGGAATTGTTGATTACACGGACAGCCAGACCGATTGTTGGAGGTTTCGGCCTTTGGGCTACCTGACTATTGACTTTTTTCGCTGTAAAAATATTAAGCAATAATAGAATTTCGTCAAGGTTCGCTCCATCAAAAGCACATTACTAGAGTTTGAGCCACACAGAAAGTCTGGAAATCTAACTTCGCTCCTGCTTCAGCAGCCTGTGGTGCGAAGGTGTCAAGTTTAATAGTTAACTGCAGAAGAGAAAATCTTTATCTAGAGCATTTAGAATAAGTTAGTTAACGTTACTTGTCTAGGAGTTTTACCTTGCCAGAATTTTTAATGATTAAATTTTAATCTTTCATCTGAGTGGATGGATGGGCAAATTTGTATATTTGTTGGACACTTAGCTGGCCTTTTACATTTCAGGTCCCTGACTTCCTGAATTGAAATGATTGGGCTGTTGGTGGGCCCATTGAGTAACCTTGTGGAAGAGAACATATAGTTACCCCAGGGAGTTAGTGACCTTGGTCTCTTCCTTTGAAGTGATTGGATGGTTAGAACTGATGCATAACTGTCTGTCAGAGTAGGAAGGAAAACCAGAGCTGCTTCCAATTCTTACTATGAAGTGATCTGCCTAAATTCCTTTTATAATACATTTTTTAAGTTGCTATTTGCTCTGATGGTATAATTGGAACTCATTCTACAACAGTCACACGCAACTTGCAGATTGTTTGCCCTATGTCCTGAAACAAAAATGCCATTACATAACCTTTGACTTAATGTGTACCCCAAATAGCAGATAAAAAAAGGTTGAGAGATAAAGGACTTCTTTAAATAAGTTATTAAAAACCTTAGTGTTGCAAACCACAGAATGCAAGGAAAAATTCAGGGTTTTTTTTTCCTCTTGTAAAGAATGTTGCTAAATATATGACAACACCTTTCTGCCCCAAATTATGTGCAGTAAAGATGCAGTATTATTTATGGGTCTCTTGTGACTTAATGGTTTGCTCTTGCAAGTTTCACTAAAAATGCATGATAAAAATTCAGCTCTGTATAAGCACCTGAGTCCATTTGCAATGTAAGTAAAGACGTGGTTGGTTGTGGGGTTTAAAGCTGGAAAGGCAAATTCTTTAATAAAGAAAAAAAAAGTTGAGGCTCTGTAACAGGAAGCTGTGGAAGAGTGTTAGAAAATATGTACATTTTGTCTAGTTTAAATCCAGATCTACAGTCAGGAATCAAAATTAACCTATGAAGTCTTTAAAAGACTTATGGAATATTTCTTTTATGTCATATTGGTGGGAAAATCTGCAAGTTTGACCTGATTTAAGCAGATAAATTTAGAATGCAAAAATTACCCGGTTTTTATCTACTGCTTGGCTGTAATTAGCCTATACTGTCCCCTTTTTTAAAAAATAAAATCCCAACCAATGACAGGAAGATGATCTTTGGAAATAAAACATTCTGTGGATGCTCTGGGAATAACCTGGCTCTTCTGATTAGACAGATGTCCAGGTCCCTCTTTAGTTTCTGTTGGCTCTGAGCTTATTCTACACTCCAGTATGAAAACTGCTGATTTTCTTTCCCTCCTTTTTGTAGGAGATGACCAAGATAGTGAAAAGTCAAAACCAGCAGGCTCAGATGGTGAGCGGCGGGGGGTAAAGAGACAGCGGGATGAGAAGGATGAACATGGCCGAGCTTACTATGAATTCCGAGAGGAGGCTTACCACAGCCGGTGAGGGAAACAGTCCCTTTCATTGAAGGGAGTGTCTGCTCTGATTTTGGTATACCTGATGCCGACTGGAGAGTCTGGAAAGAGGGGTGGATTAAAAATGGAATAGGTTTTTATAGGCCTAAGTTTCAGATTGAATCTACCCTGAAAGCTCCCGTTGCCCTTTTCTCTTTTGTTGAAAGAAGCTGTCTGCTGGAATTTTATATTCACTGATAGTTTAAACAAAAGTGATGCCATGCAGACATCCCTCAAATTAGAGGATTTGGTTACATTGTATTTGCTTTTCTCTCATCTGTATAGCTCGAAGTCTCCACCACCCCCTGAAGAAGAAGCAAAAGATGAGGAGGAGGATCAGACTCTTGTGAACCTGGACACATGTATGTATAAGGCAGACAGGTTGGGGTTTCTAGCCAATCAGAAGTGATTTTAGAGATTAAAACTTAATGGCCTGCAACTTTTAAGAGATTTAGACTTTGTATCCATTCTTGGCAACTGGGTATATTTGTGTTGTGTTGGTGACTTCAAGTGTTGGGCATTGGAGTAAACAGATTGCTTCTTTCTTAACAGATACCTCGGATCTCCATTTTCAAGTGAGCAAAGACCGCTATGGAGGGCAGCCCCTTTTCTCAGAGAAGTTCCCCACCCTTTGGTCTGGGGCAAGAAGTACTTATGGAGTGACAAAGGGGAAGGTCTGCTTTGAGGCCAAGGTAGTATACACAGCTCATTAAGACCATTCATTTATTAAGTTAGTCATTAAACTACTACATACTGGACTTGTGCCCACCAGTATTTTATTAGTGCAGAAAAAGGCACCATGCTTTAACGAAAACCTTAGCTCTAGTAACGAAGAAATTGACCCCCATGGCTTTGGTTTAAGTACATTGACAGTTGTGTTTCTGATCTTGAGGCGTCATAGTTGTCATGTTTGGTTTATATCGAAATCGTGTCTTTCTAACTCAGACTTTGCTCCAGTTGGTCAGGGTATCTGAAAGTTCCTTTTCTGACTTGGCCAGGTAACCCAGAATCTCCCAATGAAAGAAGGCTGCACAGAGGTTTCTCTCCTTCGAGTTGGATGGTCTGTTGATTTTTCCCATCCTCAACTTGGTAAAGTTATTTTAACTTAATCATTTCAGTGTTTGCTACTCCGCAGAAGGTTTGGGTGAAGGTAACTAATCTTTGCTGACTGTTTTAGGTGAGGATGAATTCTCTTATGGTTTTGATGGACGAGGACTCAAGGCAGAGAGTGGGCAGTTTGAGGAATTTGGCCAGACTTTTGGGGAGAATGATGTCATTGGCTGCTTTGCTGTAAGTGCTCCTGAAAAGTTATGGGTTTGTAGCAAGGAGGGCACTGGGAGTTCAGTTTGCTTCCCATCAACTGCTATCTTTTTTGTATTTGATGCATTGCTTGCATAGTTGTGTTGTGCAGCAGAGTTTTGTTTTTTTTTTTTTTAAGAAAGAAAAAGATTAAATTGTAAGATTTAATCAGCCTCAAACCCTGTATGCCCATAAATGCTCTTATCTTTTGTCACTGTAGAATTTTGAGGCAGAAGAAGTAGAACTTTCCTTTTCCAAGAATGGAGAAGACCTAGGTGTGGCATTCCGTATCAACAAGGAATCCCTGGCAGACCGGGCCCTCCTACCCCATGTCCTCTGCAAAAATTGTGTTGTAGAATTAAATTTTGGTCAGAAGGAGGAGCCCTT